CTCTGGAAAGGTTGCCCAGGGATGCCGGGGTTGGGTACCAATCTGCTGCACCCTGCCATGCCAGTGTGTCCCTGGGCTGCTCTGCTTCCAGAAGCATCCTGCCGTGCCAGTGTGGGCTGGTGTGTGCCGTGGTGCCCACCACTGGGATCTCCTGGGGGTGCTGGGTGCCTGCCAGGACGCGTTTCCCCACGCCCACGGCAGTAAGGTACTGCATCCTGCAGCAAGGTTTGAGATTCCTGAGGCTGTGGCACAGGGGCTGCACGGGGAGCTGCCTTCTCATTTGGAATATCCCTGTAACTCTCCCCCTGTCCCCTCAGCTGACCAACGCCCTCAAAAGCATGAATGAGAGGCAAATTATCCTTCTGCAACCCTGCCGGGGATCCCCCAGAATCCCCTTAGCTGGCCTGGCCGGGCTGCTGATAATCAGATAGAGGGGTTTAAAATAATCAAGCTTAAGCAGCTGAAAGCCAAACTAGAATAGGTAATGGGGTCAGAAAACAAAAACTGCTGGGCACCACGCACGCTCTCAGAGTGGGCTGAGCTGGGAGCTGTGGTGCTTCCTCAGGATGCTGCCCAAAAACCCAGAGTCTACCAAGCCCTGCACTATTCTGGTAGTGGGAAAACTGTGCAAAAGTCCCCAGATGTTTCACAGGGAGTCCTGAGATCCAGGTGGCACCCTGCTGCAGCCATCACCAAAAGTCTGAGTCAAAGAAGAAAGTATTTTGCTGCCCCAGAGCTCCGTTAGTCCCAACCCCAGCAGTGCCAGCAGCTCAGAAGGTGCAGGACACCTCCCTGCCCCTGCAGCACCATCAGCCACTCCTCGTTCCCTGCTCCCCCTCCCATGCTGGCTCTGCCAACACCTCCACCTGCCTTGCCTGTGGACAGGGAAGAGGGACAGAAGCACCAAGGGAAGGGGGAATTATTAAGTTTAGGGAATTTGTTTTGCCCGCTGCTCAGATTTCCAGCTCGTTTTAATGACGTAATGCTCCAATGGTGAGAAGCCAGAGTTTGCCCTTCCTGTGGTATTCCCTTAGGAAAAGCATATTACTGCAATGTAAAACTGAAAATTGAAACAGGCTGGTGCTTCACCAGAGAAAATGCCTCTCCTTTTTCCCTATTCAGTGAGGCGGGGATGAATGTTGTGAGGTTTGAAAGAAAAACTGAAAAAGCCTTTAATTAATCCCTGGAGGCTAAACCCTGCCAGATATGGACAGGATTTCTCCTCTGCCTCCTTTTCGGAGCAAGAACATGAAGCTGCCTTCCTGCTGCAGCTCTTTCCAGGGGATTCTCAGGTCCCAGAGGAGGATCCAAAGTGTTTTACAGAGCTTTTTTTATGGAGAGAATGGCTGCCAGGGAAGTCTCATTGCTGGCCCAGGACAGTGAGGAGACAAGGATCCCCTGCTCAGACTTTTGGAAGCTTTTACCTGCTGGGAGGAAACTTTCCGAGTTCAAGGTCAGGTCTGTTTGTCTTCCCTCCTGACAGACGTAAACTGTTATGCAATATTCAGGAAGTCACTTTTATCAGACTCAATTCAATTTCTAAGATTAAGAGCATGGAAAAACAAATACTAGTGCTGGATGGAAAGTGCTGGCACTAACCAGTCCAACAGTGTTTGGACAGGGATTGCTAATAGGGTATCTCTTATTTCCACAAGTCGGTAGGAGCAGGTCACAAAATGTGCTGCTTTTTATGGGGGGCTGACGAGGAGGAAAATTAACCCTTGCCTAGAGGGCAGACACCATAGCAAAGTTTTTTTGGAGAGCAACTTCTGTCCTTGCTACTGCAGCATCTGGGAGCATCCCAGGATGTAAATTCAGGGCTCAGCCCCTGGCAGGGGATTGCTTTGTTAACAGTGCCCGTGCTGGACACCTTTGCCCTGGTGCCTGGCAGGGGCGTGGCTGCAGGACAGGTAAAAGCTTTGCTCACAAGAAACTTGACTTGCAAGGGAACAGACAAAATACAGAGCTTGTGCAATTTTCACAGGGATCATCACTTGGCTCAGAACTACGGCCCCATTCAGAAAATGCACTGGGAGAAGGCACTGGAGAAAAGAAATCTCAACTTGCAGAGGAAAATCTGTCCTAAGCAAGACCGAAGCTGGTCCTGTGATCCAGAAGTCCTTAAAGAAAAGCACCAGGAACTGCAACGGAGGAGGATGGATCACTTGATCTGTGGACATCCATGCCAGGGATCACACCAGCCTCAGCCCAGAAGACATCCCTGCTTTCATGACACTTTTTCCAACAAAGGCCCTTATAAAGTTTCAGTAATAACTACTATTGAGATTAGTTCAGGGCTTTCTTTTGGTACAAGAAAAAAAAATTTGAAATTTAGCTTCCAGCACTGCAAACTCCCTTAATTCAATACCTTGTATATAGATATTATACACAGACAAAATTAAAATGTAGAAATAAGGAGCTCTGGAGCTTGATAAAAGCTAAGAGAGAACCTGGGGTTTGAAAGAAAACCATTAGCAATAGCAGATTTGCAAGTTCAGCTGTGGGAAGGACCACAAAATCCAAGCACATGTTATATATCTTCTTTTTATTGACTGCTTTGTGGGAAGCTGCATTTCTTGTTGTAGTTGGGAGCTACAGCTTGCACTCTGTGTTGATTTTGATTATAGAGTGGTGGTAATTAAACCTCTGGAGCATTAAGTTACCATTTTAACCAAATGCCTGCATTTTATCTTGATGGGAAATTGAGAGTGAGACTCAGATTTTCACAGTAAATAAAAACTGTTAGCTGTTTCACAGATAATCCTTTTCCTCAGCTTATGTATGAGAAAATCCTCCTGTACAGTTTCTTCCGGCCTTTTGCAAAGGCACACACTCCTTGAAGAACCTCAGCAGCAGCCCTGCCAGCTTCTGCGCACTATTTTCAGCTTGTAAAATAATAATTATAATCATAATGTGCCTCTAATGACACTTTTAATCCAGAGGGTAGTATCCTTATCTCCATGTAAGCAAACAGAAGCATGCAGAATTTTGCTCCGGTGCTATAAGTGGCCAAGGTCAAAGTCAGGAGTTACCCAGCACCCAGGTTCAGTCTATCAGCAATATCCCCCGCCTGTCTCTGAGGTAATGCTCTTATCTGCTGACAGATAGGGAAGGTGCTAATGTGGTTAATTTTTAGACAGTTCTGTGCTGACAGGCACAGGTCTGCCTCGCTGCACACCTGTAGCTCAGGATTTGGGCAAATGCAGCCATTTCAGATGTTCCTGTCACTGTGCACCATCCTGACCTACCTGACAGGAGACTGAAAGAGGTGAATCCCTTCAATCCTCAGTTTCACTGCAGTTAGCAGCAGCATTGCTGGAGTGAGGCTGAGATGCTCAGCAGAAGGCTGCGAGGCTGCAGTGTGTGCTGGCTGCCTTCGCTACAGGCAGGGCATTAATGCTCTGGAGATCAGAGATTTGATAACAAACAGCTGCTTCTGCAGAGGATTGGGCTCAGCCCTTTCAAAGAGAAGCCGTTGCCACAGAGTCTTTCATCCTCTGCTTTCGGAGTAAAGTGCATCCTCCCTTCCCAGAGCAGCAGCAGCTTTACCACAAAGTGTTTGCAGGATCTGTGTCTGCAGAGGCAGGTATTACTCACCCAGTGGCTCCTTATGCAGATGTGCTGCCGTCACCGGGATGGCAGAGCCAGGAGCTGGAATTCGGGCTGCTGGAGATGCCCATCTGTGCTGCCACCCGGGACCAGGGACAGCCACAGGGCTCCTCCGGGGCCGTGTCCCGGCAGACAGAGCTCCTGCACATCTCTGGGTTCACCGGCCAAGCTGGAGCCTCGGGAGCTGCATCTTTTGGTGGGGAGCAGAGTAGAGACTGCACCGCTTCACCTTCCTCATCACTGCCCCTGCAGCCATCTGTTGGGAGGAAATGTCTGTCACAGCACACGGGGGCAGGTACAGCGCTGTGCGAGCCTGGGGAGGAGATCCTCGGGCACACAGAGCTGCTCTCTCCTCGGCAAGGCCACCCCAGCCCAGGTGTGACCCACATCCCCTGCCACAGCCCAGGAGCACCTCTGCTCCTCAGCATCCCACCTGAGCCCAGGTGTGACCCACATCCCCTGCCAGAGCCCAGGAGCACCTCTGCTCCTCAGCATCCCACCTGAGCCCAGGTGTGACCCACATCCCCTGCCACAGCCCAGGAGCACCTCTGCTCCTCAGCATCCCACCTGAGCCCAGGTGTGACCCACATCCCCTGCCAGAGCCCAGGAGCACCTCTGCTCCTCAGCATCCCACCCCAGCCCAGGTGTGACCCACATCCCCTGCCAGAGCCCAGGAGCACCTCTGCTCCTCAGCATCCCACCCCAGCTGCACGAGGGCTTGGGGTCTCCTTGTGCAAACCCAAGGTTGTGCTGAAGGTTTCTCCACACAAACACAGCTGTTACTGGTGTGCTTGGGAACTCAAATAGAGTCAGGCAGGTTCTAACTTGAAGAGGATCACAGAGAAGTCACTTATTTTGGAGAAACCTTGAAAGAATACAAATTATTCTATTATTCTTATCTAATAAAGATAATGAAAATTGAAGCAAGTGTTACTACTGATGCTACTGGATGCAGGATTTCACACCTTCTTCCCATCGTACCATACTGAGATATGATGTCCTCCAAGATTAACTGATAAATCCCCCAACCCATTTCCAACTGTTCTACATCCTGGTTTTATACTCCAGTGCAAACAAACTGAAAAAATGAATGTAAAATCCCATTTTTTCCCCACACCAAGCGCACTAAGAAAGGAAAACAAATCTACTTAATGTTTCTAGATGTAAATATTTAAGGTAAGAGATAGAAAAAGCTGATTATGTTCTCCATTTGACAGGACAAATATAAAAGTGTCTTTTTTGAAAAATTAATCTAAGCATTATTCTACATTCTGACATTAAGGGAAATAGTGCCTGATAGCATGTTTTCCCAGAAATGGTAAACTGCTCTGGTGGTTTGGAAAAACATAAGGAAGAATCAATTTTTCAATTATTTTTCTTTTTTTCCACAGACCACTGCCATTTTTTATTTGAGTAATGGCCAGAGTTATAAAGGATAAGCCACCACAAGACAAAATTTTCTCAGAGTATTTTTCTGCTATGAACTTCTGGAAATATCAAAAGAAACCAAGTTGGTGTGAAGCAGTTGTCCCATGAGAAGAACCAGGCTGGGTACACTCACAGTTACCAATGTTTTGTGACACTGGGTAAGTTACCAGAATCAGTAATGATATTTTTAAAAGTCCATTAATAAAAAAATAAATTGGGGAAATAGCCAAATAACTCAAAAAGACGGCAAGAGCTCTACAGAGCAGCCCAGCCAGTGTTCCCCCCCACCTTACACCTCCCAGTCAGTCAGGAATAGGTTGTTTTCTGCCATCCTCCTTCTTTTCTCCATTTCCTTCTCACCAAAGTGATACCAGGCTCTTTTTATCATGTCTAAAATTTTATTTTTAAAAATCTCCTCCAAGCCTCCCTCTTCTTACAACAGTTATTACAAACTTCAGGTTTAGCAGCTACCCTCAAGGCCACATCAATTCACTCCATGACCATACCAGTCCTTCAGCTACATAATTTATGAGCTTCTTGCCTTCTAGTCTTTATTGCTGTCACCTTTGCACATCTCCTCTTACCTGGATGAACCAACAGCCTACCTACATATGGCCAGCCCACAGCCTTTGCCCCACCAGGCTCTGTAATCCTTCTGTCAGCTCCTTCCCAAAGCTCAGACTCATGTTCTGCCCAGCTTTCTTTTAAGCCTGGGAAAACCTTCCTGATAAAATCTGACCAGCCACTCCTTTCTCCTCCTTCAAAACTATCCTTACAACTCACTTCTGCCAAAAACCCAGCCAAACTTAGCTTCAGCTGTGGCTGGGCAACATGAATCAGGAGTTTTTTCCCTCTTTTCCTTGTTCCCTATGTCTGCTCTCAGCTAAGCATTAGCCAAACCAAATTATGCTACCAAAGAAAGGTCATTGCTCTATATATATATGTATATATGTATGTATGTATGTGTATGTATATATATATATGTGTGTATGTATGTGTATACACACACACACACACATACATATTATATATATTTTGTGTATGTGCATGTGCTGTATATCCCCTTGGCTCTTAGTGCCTGCAGAACATACACTCAGGGCAGGGATTGCCTTTTCCCCTCCACTTTTGCAGAGCACCTTGCAGAGCTGTGGCTCGATTCCTGTACATGCTCCCAGAATATAAAGATGTGCTGATAACAGAACGTTCCCTGGAGGAAAGGTGCAGCCCAGCTGGGAGCCAGCAGTGAGCTGCAGCTGTCCCTGGCACAGAGCAGAGGGGGACAGGACACCAGACTGATCAGATAAGGACCTGGAGTGTCAGGATGAGAGAAATGGCTTCAAACTGGCCAAGGTTGGTTATTACAAGAAATTCTTCTCTGTGAGAGTGGTGAGGCCCTGGCACAGGTTGCCCATAGAAGCTGTGGATGTCCCATCCCTGGAAATATTCAAAGCCAGGTTGGATGGGACCTTGAGCAACCTGATCTAGTGGAAGGTGTCCGTACCCATGGCAGGGGTTGGAACAGGATGTACTTTAAGGTCTCTTCCAAAACATTCTATCATGATTTGTTGGTGATTGATTAATCAATATTACAGTTAAAATATCCTTTATGCAGTAAAATACTTGAATTAATAAGAATTAAGCACAGAGGAATGAGATAGAAATCTCTCACATATTTTTCCAGTGACTCCAGGACATGATGAATCTGAGAAATGCAGATGAGGTGTGAGGACACAATGAAAGTTGCTGTGCCAAGGTGGATCAGTACTGCCCAAAGGTCCCTTTTCCTGTTGTTATGATGTGGGACAAACAGCAGGTCCCACATAACACAGGGCCAGGTGTGTTCCCAGAAAAGCTGAAGCCATGGCCAAGTAAGAGGCTTGGTGTATGTGCCAGGGTAGGTGTTGCTGTGGTTCCAGGTAAAATATTGTGTATAAAACATTAGAGGTGAGGAGATAAGTAAATCACTTGGCTGGAGAGGAGTGGGATTTACAAAATTCCTATTAGGATGTCTTCAGTGTCCAGGCACCCTTAAAAAAGCTGTTTCTAAATAGTTGATATAAATTGCAGGTTTTTAATAAGTACAAACTATGTAGTTTCTGTGACAAGAGTGAACTGCAAGAGCAGAGAGCACTGAAACTGGTGGTATCAGGTGTGGGAGGCAGTGACCCCCAGCACGCTCAGCAGCTCCTGTAGTTCCCTGCTCCAGCCCATCACGAAGCTCAAACACAGTTAGAAGCATCCCAAATTTCCTGCACTTAAACCAAACTTCATTTCCCGCAAAAAAACTCTCAAAGTTTTCAGCCTTAACTCCTAAGCCAAACCCATATTACAAGAGCTAAAATGTCAGAGCTAATTAAGAGGAGGAAGCCATGCAGAAACCAGCCAAGATGTGCATCTGCCACCAAGGAGAAGCCCCATTCCTGCAGCGCGTGCCAGGCCCGGCGTGCACACCACGTCCTCCCAGAGGCACAGAGCTGGCTGGCAATTTGGTCAGCCCTCAATGACATGCTGGAGTGCTGACTTCCCTTGTGGTTTCAAAAAAAACCAACAAAAAAAGCCTTAAACCCATGTTTTTAAGCGATGCCCAGGGTATGTTTAAGGAACAGCCAGTACCAAATTCCGCCCTGCCTGCTGGAGCACCATCAGATTCTGGTGGGGTTGCACAGCAGATAAGAGACCACGGTGTTTGGGCAATTAGTTTTAACCATCATTATATAATATTGATGTCATATTGACTACACATATATATGCTGGCACAGGGACTGGAATTACATTGATTTATTAAGTTGATAGCGTGCACCGGTGCCAAGCTACCAGGTCATTGATCAGCTGCCTGGGCTGAACTTCAGCGTGTAATTTCCAGCACAATGTGACTGATCAGCAATACCATAATTGGTTGCAAATGTCCTTCCTTCTATTTGTTTTGTTAAGTGGCTTTTTCATTAACACAGCAGAGCCAAGAAAATAAATATGACTCTACTATTGGACTGCAGGGAGAGAATAGCTGAGAACTGAATGCAGACTGGGGCAGGACTGTGCAATATTGTCAAACCAACACTCCTCACTCCATTTTTTAGTTATAAATTTTCAATTTTGCTGCATTTAGGGCCCTGATTGCTTCAGAAGAGATGGCCTTTGGCTAGAAGGGACTTGGCCGACATTATGTTCAGTAAAACACAAATTTATTGGTTCCATGCCCCAAATGCCTTAAGTCAATAGGTTTATTATTAGGCAAAGCCATGATGTCTCTCCTTGGAATATGGCCCTTGGATGTCTCTGCTAAGAGAGGAAAGTCCAGTCCCTGGGAACAGGCTCTCTGCTCCTCACAGCAACACCCAGGCATCTGAATGAGCTGGAAAACTCAGAACTGGGCACTGAGACTTTTAGGGAGATGGCACCTCCCTCCTGAACACCAAATCCAAGGCTAACCAAGCTATGGGTCCCTTCTCCAGAGCCTCATCCCAGCTCCTGCAGCACAGCCCTGCACATCTGCAGGATCACATGAAATGGGATTTGCTCTGTGAGACAGCAAAAAGTGCCAGATATGGTCTGGGCCTAAGTGAGTTGCAAAGTTTCTGAAAATATCGACTCAAGCGTTGTATCTGTGAGCAAGTGCAATTATTTGAACAGGAGAAAAGCAGAAGTGAGCTGCTGTGGCACCAGCTATCCCATGAAATAGCTCTGTACATCACCCAGATTATTGCATGCCCTTTCTGATTTCCAACAGGTATATAAATCATTGTCTTCTGGGTGTGTGACTTCTCAGTACCTGCTTTTAAATGCTCTTTCCACCTCTTATTTTACCCTGTTCTATTAATGTCAGCACATTTCTGGCTATATTCTAAACACACATAACTGTGTAGGGCCTGAGCAGGAGCAGTGGTTATCTGGTGACTTCACAGCAATAAAACATTATTACAGACCTTTCACATGAGTCACCACAATGCATTAGAGGAGAAAAGGCAATAAAAAAATAAATGTCAAAAAGAATGAAGGTATTGAGTCAGGACAGAAGAGCCAATCCATTATTTTTCACAATTTTCAGCACTTTAGGACTTTATACTTTTATACTTTTCATCCACTGGACTCTGCCAAATAGAGCCATTGTTTCTCTCCTGTTAGCTCCCTGAAAATATCTGGCAATGGTTTACTCCAGCTTGAATAAAACTAAAGACTAAGCTACTTAACCAATGTGTGTTCTTTGAAGTATTGGATTGGAATCTCCGGGATACCAGCACGTTGCAAACAGGCACACTTCATTAATGATGCTGAAACATTTCCTCAAATCAGGATGGAAGTGTTTGACTCCTATTGTTTTATTTTCAGTTCAATTCAGTTGCAGGTTTCAAAGGGCTCTGGAGGGCCAGACCTGCAGGGCTGCTGGAGCACTGGGGGTGAGGCAAGCTTGACTGAAGCAGTGTTGAACAAGGCATCACTCCCTACCTGTTCAGGGCATGCAGGGCTGAGGACTCTGATTTTGTATACACTTTATAAAGAGCTCAGCATAGCCATTACTCAGCAAATGGCTACAAGAAACAGGTTTGTAATTTGGTTTGTTCAGAGGGTTGTAAATTATTAGCATTTACTATGCCCTGGTGCATGTACAACCCAGGGAAAACACCCTTCATGTAAGGGCCTGTCCTGCAACTTCTGCTCAGAGCTTTTGCTCCTTGTGTGGGACATCACCCTATTAATGTCATGAAGCAGCAGGTGCCCTCCTCCATAGTTCATTTTGGATGTGCTCTTCTGTGCTCTGGTGCCTGGACCTGCCGTGCCCCCCACCTCCCATCCCCACCCGGCTCCTTCGTGTGACTACTTCTGTCCTGTCAGACCGCTCCTTCCAAAGCCTAAATCCCAATTTCACAGGAGCTCTACCTCCCCAAATTCGGGAGCAGTGCTCCCAGCAAGGCACACAGCAAACCAGAAGGTTGCTTTCCATGCAAAGGGCAACATAAATCTTCCCAAAATGATTGGAGGGAATGCATTCATTGAGCCTTGAGTTTTTTTACCCCTGCTCTTTGTAGGGAAGAAGGTTGGTTTGGTTTGCAGCTATTCCAGAAGTTTTACATGAGAGGGAAATGCTCACCAGCTCTCAATGATCTGTCAAGGGCAGTGTCTGCTTCTTGGCAAAAGCCTCTGCTGAAACACCAGCGAGCAT